TTAACGTTTACAGTGTAAAGTAGAAGTACGATTTTGAGTAACAATTATTTATACTGACTTTGAAAATACAAAAAAAAATCCGTAAGATAAATTATAATAATTACAGTTACTTGTATTGTACTTGATGAAGAATCGTTTTTCTAGGATCGTTAAAAGATACGATCCTGCTTGCGTGCTCATCGTCGAAATGTGATCGTAGTTTGTACCAAATACATTGATCAGTCGTCACTGTTTCTCGCAGAATGGAGATCATTGACGGTAATCGTAATTTCGAGGCGCGGTAATCTCTGATCACCAGAGTACATACGCGACATTTCGGACATTCGTAGGATACTAGAGTGAAACTAGTCGATATCAAAGGGGTATCTTACTCTGAAAATCTCCAAGCTTTGCATGTCCTAGTTAGAAGCTAATTTTTTATCTTTTCTATGATAGCGTTTCTTTAATCGCGACTAATATATTGGTCAATAAATAGTAATATATTATTAGTTTGAAATTTTCTTCCTATTCGATCTTTCCTGTGAAATATTTTTTTGGGAACGGGCAATGATCCAAACACTTCCCCATATTTGAATCACGGCATCGTTCCTCCTTGTATTATTCCTTGTATTATTCCTTGTATATCTATATTATCTATTTCTCATTACGATGTCAAGAAAATTTCGACTGTTTTAATCTACAGTCATCATTGCGATTAATTTGGTCGTTAAAAAGATCGTGACTGCCTTAGCAGTTGCGAATCCGTTGATTAATGATAGTGAAACGGTTTGGCACGCAATAATGCGCAATGCAAAACGCTTTTTAGATACCACAAACTTGCTAGAATCTACTCTCCCGTTTACAAATTGTTCAGCGAATAATAATGATTGGGAGCTGATAATTAAAATCAAAACTATCTGATTACATACTTTGAGACACGCTGTGTATAAAACGAAATTAGTTCTAACAAGAGATCGTAATTACGTGTTATTCGTTTATCATAAATCGATCTGTCAAATAAAGAATTTATGACATTACAAAATACCTACCACTAGAAAATGTCATTTTATCTTTGTTATCATCGATCTTCTGTCGAGATAAGAGTAGAGTGTGCAAAAAATGTTACTTAATTCCTTACTTGTTAGAGTTATAGACTTACAAAAGTGAGCGAGCGTTTTTGAGTGATAAAGAATAGGCACTCTGCTTGTTCCGTTTTTGCTCCTCCTTTTCCATCTTTTTCATCATTTCTTTCTTTAAGGGCGGAGAAAAAGATCTGTGCGCGAATTTGCTCGCGAAAGTATTACTCTTGATAAGTGATATCGGATTAAAATGTATCTTAGAATATCATATCCGCATCGTCGAAGCGTCAAAACTACCCTATAGATAATTATCCCGAAGCTTGAAAAATCTACCTAGATTTTGTGCAGATCATTTTGGGCGATCGTACGTGTATAAGTGTGCTCATTTTAACTCTCGTTAGATTTACTATATAACTATTAGACTTATACTCTAAAAGAATTAACGTCACTACACGAAATCGCGCGATCCCGGAACAGAAACCTTCCCCGAATTTCGTTTCTGGATCGTCACGATTTCTCGACAGTGACGTCAGTCAACGAATAATTAAAATCACCCAATCTTACGCGCTAGCATTTCTTGTTTGCGAATGCAATTAGATTTATGATTGCTATCTATTAGATATAAATCTCTTAGATACTGACCAATTCACGTACACAAATCACGCGCACGCACGCATCCCTTATATTGAGTCCCGCTGCGACGATGCCTCAGCTTCTCGCTGCGTTAAAAGTTATACTATCAGTAACGTGGTGTATAATAATGCTTTCTATTTGATCCGCGCACGGATGCTAACCTCGGATGGTCGTAGAATGCATGCCATGATAGTGACGAATTTAAACGCGGACGATGTCAGGTGCGGGGCGGTAATATTCTAAGCGAGTCGTTTTGCTTGACGCTCCTCATGGGAGCAATTACAATAGCGACAGCAACTACAATGATGATAATAATAATAATAATAATAATAGTGACAGTAATAGTGACGATAACAATTAATAATAGATAATGGCCGCGAGAATAATCGCAGCTACGTATTGCACACGGATCACAGAGTGGAGACAATTGCTAGGCGTTACAGAAGTAATCTACAGATAGTGCAGATAGTGCCAAGCTTTTTATAATCGTGTATATACGCATTTATCAATATACGTTTTATAGATTCTCTCTCGCACAATTACACGTGCGTGTAAACGTACATATTTTATATATATATTTTTTATATGTATGTATATATTCTGTACTCGCGTAATAAATGGTCGATAAATTTAGATCTATCTCTAGGAACGCGACAGCGCAGGCACTAAATTGTTGAGATACAATCGTTCTGGGCTACGATCGCTCGTCTGCCCTCACAATTCTATCGCGTATAGATATTGCAAGCTTTCGAGATACCGAAATGTACTCTTGTGCGATTAACAATAAGATACTCGCGTATAAAGTCGCGTGCTTTATAGTATAGTGTCGAAACTTGTGTAATTGTAATCGCGCTTTTTGGTCGCTCTACACAAAGAGATTCTTTTCCACCAGACATAAGGATTCAACGGATTCCGTTGGACCTGACAAATCCACACGAAACATTCACCAATAGTACAAATGCTGTTATTATTATTTCCAACAAAGAAAAGTAAAAGCATTTTTCTAGCGATCAAGATGCGTCGCGTGGGCAAAACTTGACGAGATGAAACGCGTATCGCAGAGAAGAGAGGAGTTGTAGGAGGCAAAAGCGATAATAAACGACAAATCTTACGATATAATTAGTAACATTATCATGTGACTCTAAATTACTTATTCTAAGTCTTAAAACTTGTGGATTATATATGTGTATTCTTTGGACCGCTACAAACTAGACTCAACTTTTGATGCCTCCTTTTTTTGAAGAATTATGTCTCTTAATATATTCTTTATCTCTTCAACCCCTCTTTCTCTTGCTTCTCGTCGCCAATGAGGAGAAAGCCATAAATTTCCAACTACTAGTTGCCGATATTGCGTCAATGTCGAGCTCGACGTACATTTCCATCTATATGTGTTCAATGACTCTAATTTATCAATACACAACGTAAATGTCAGATTTCAAATTCTGATCGTATATTTAATTACTCTCGAGCTCGGCGTGTTAGCGATAAATTTTGGCTGCGAGAAGGGACGATTCTGTTGTGTGAGTATTAACACTAAACGCCAAAATGTCATCATGATACATATATGAAACAAAGTAGAAATATTCGTGTCTATTGGCCATCCTACGATTTTCCTTCGCTCATTTAATTCGATAGAAATGCTGCAAATGCCTCATGTGGATTTCTATCGAAAGCCGTGAAACGGCAAACTACAAGTTTTCAAAAAAGATGGAAAATTTTTATTTAAATAAAATTCCTCGAATAAAGGTTCTCTAAAATTCTTTAGAGTTTCCTGAATCTTGCAATTACTTCAATTTTTTTTAATAATATGTAGCATACATCATGTATAATAAGACATAAACTTGTTTAAAAGAAATTCTTTTTTTTTCTTTCTTCTATTTCTCTTATATTTCTCTTTCAAATTTTCTAATGTATTCTAGTTTTCTCCGCTAATATTTAATGTGGATATTGTAACAAATTCTCCAAAGTAGGCAAAAAGAACTTCTAAACATTAAAAAATTTCTCTTACAATGAAGGAAAATTTTTATTCTCAAGCAGTACCTTTCTTCTGTGAAAGTTTGGTGCATACCTCGAGAAAATGTCGTCTACTCGTGCTGGTTACATTTAATTGATGTAATTATATATATATCATTCAGTGCTACGCTTATGATTGTATGTGGCTTAATATTCGTGAGATGCACTCTTCATCACCTCCGCGTGGCACCGTCTTAGCGAATCCGGCAACGCACTTCGTTTTCAACTTCGCACCTCCGAAAACGTGTGTCGCGCTCTGCTCTGGTCCCTTTCGTGTTGGCTTATCGCGAGCCAATCGAGCCGCAGCGTCGCTTTCGATGTAAAGGATTTAATAATCGTTGATCCCACGATCGTCCCGCCGCGTCTCGATGTTGCGGCGTCACATACCGAAAAAAAACTTTCAGGGAAAAGGCATACGCGTCTGATCTTATCGATCATCGCATCGACGCTGTGAATGACTTGTCCTCGCTTCAATCCTTAATGTGATCTATGATTTGTGAATCGGCTGCAGTTAGCACTAGTCGAAGAAAACTATTCATCGCTTTAATTTGTTGCTTATACTTTTCTCTTAAGAGTAACGAGAACTTCTAGTTGCTGTATATGGACCGACAATTTACAGTCAATTGCAACCGTTATTTTCCACAACTTCCTTAACGGACCATGTTATTATTACTGGATATATTCGCTCTTGATATATCCTTTGAGAGATATTTCGCGAGCGCGTGTATTGTATTCTCTATGCAACCCTGATAGACTGGATATTAGTATACGATGGTACACCAATTACTTGTTACGTATGTTACATACATTTCCATTAAACAGAACGATCGAATGCGGTATTACAACCGCTTGGTCCGAAAGGCGTTTGCATTACAGGTATGTTTCGATAATTGCTGCAAATGTCACGTTGGTTTTGATTCCTGAAATTATTAAAACAACTACTATGAAGTAAACGGATGAGAAACTGCATCGATAGTCGGACGAGCAACGGAAGGTCTGTTTCCTATGGCTGAACTAATGTACACTTTTGGAACTTAAAGTGAGATAGGTATATGTTTGATATTTGTCAAAAGCAAGAAAGAGAGTTCTAGTGCAGGAACAGAAAACAGACCAAAAATTACGTTGTCACAGTATAAAGAGATATGATGATCTTCATCTCTCTGAACTTTAAGTATCATTGCACCCGACTGTTTTTCTTTTTTTTAATAATTAAAGTGCTTCAAATAGAGTTTCTCCCGAAATATTTTCTACGATATTTCACAACTTAAACGTATTGGATCGCGTGTACCGAATCGCTTTTTTGCTAAACAATTCTCTGTTCTTGAGACAGCTCATTAACATTCCGTCAAGTTAATATGAACGATAAAACTTGATGTAATCAATACGATCACTACTAATCGTTTTAGTTACAGCTGCTATTGCTAAAAACATCATAATAGGCGTTTCATTACTGACAGTTTACGTCTATCTTGTAATGAACTATGTTTCTTTTCTATTTCTGTGAGATGGTTTTCCTATCAGCAAATAAGAAACTTAAACAAAAATCAACGTTCTTGACGATCATTCAATTACGTTCTATTAGATTACGTTCTATTAAATAGAGGAATATCGAATTATATCAAAAGAGAAACACGCTGAAAAGACTCCTCGCAATTAATTTAATCGGATGATTCTCCTACTATTGTTAAAGCAGCATCAATACGTACTTAGGCGATCCCAATTACTGATAATTTATACCTCCACCTCGTCGAGATCTCGAGATCAGGCTCGAGTCGTCGGTATTTCGTCGCGATTTATCTAGGCGAAGTATTTACCAATGATATTTGCATTATCGAACGTTAAATTTTCATTCCTCAACCCATTGAACGGAAACGTGGAGACCGGGCCAATTTATACGCGCGGGTCGAAGATTTATTTACGGACGGCGAACTATGCGATGTAGCGCCGCGTTAATCTACGTTGGGCTAGTGATAAACGGGAATGTGTTGTCGATCAGATCGTTTGTGTTAAGACGGTCCTATTTTATGCCTTCGCGTTGCGAGTCTCGATGGTGACGTTTTCCAGGAACGGGTCGGTGACGTTGTCCGTATGATTCGGAGATTTATTAGATTTCACCGAGGCGGCCGAAGCGTTCCCGCTGCTGTTGTGGCTCCCACGTCGCGATCCTGTGCGTGACCCTGGCGACAGAGATTTTCTTGCTAAAGTATCGCGTGCTTTGGCACGATACCGCGGCAGCATGACACGAAAAGCCAGAATAAACTTTAAGCATGAAGACCTGCGCGGAAGAAATGCATTAGTCAGAGCAAAATAGTCAATCGTCACAACGTCGAGTAAATGCACGTGTTTGAATGCGCGCTCGCGCACGTTTGTATGCGTGTATGCGGCATGTATAATGAATATATGCATGCTATACATTTTTTTCTAGCGAACGAATTTATATGTCTCGAACGCGCGAAAGGTACTCGGCAAAAATGTGCTTTGCATGATCTTTCTGTAGGCACTTTTTCTTCCTCAAAATATATAGACACTTTTATTTATTAATTTCTTTCAAAAATAATTACAAATATATTTATTTTTAATACCATTTTTTGAGTTATAAATTAGTGAATTACTGTTAGGCTTCGAAAATCAAAGTTTGATTTAAGAATTAAAATAACATTAATAAGCAGTCAAGAAGTAACAATTTGTTTCTAAAATAGTAATTTATGTACAACGATTGAAAATAAAGAATTTTATGGAAAGGACTACGCCTAGTTTGGACCCCGGCTGAACAGCATTGAGACCTAGCTAGGATTGTAGAACATCAAAAAAGGATTAAAAAGTTCCATATGCACAACTTTGTAAAATGAGTCCCTTGAGTGCTACAGCTGTTCAAAGTTTGCTATTATAATCATGTACCATGTAGGTCTGGTTTTATTCGTTTTATCGAATCATCTAGTATCTGGAATATGTCCAATCTTGACGAAGACTAAAACCTTTTTTGGACCTCAAATGAATAGTTATAAGTAATATATATTAATCGATGAAGAGGGGAGAGAGACACTCAAAGTATGAAGAAGAGACACAAAAGGTTTTAATTGCCTAATTGAAATGTGACCAATATAGCACTCAGGAAACCTTTCCTATAAAGTTAGGCTTATGGAATTTTTTATTCTCTTTTGATATCTTAAAATTTTAAGCATGTCTCAAAGTTCATCCAAATTCCTCTATAAAACTGGGTAGTCCTTTATAATCTCGTGTCGCACATATATTATTTTAATTACCTAGCTAACTCCATCTAACAAGTATTAAGATGATCTTCATTGTCTGTATGAAATGAAAGGCTCCTTTGACAAGTATTTCATGAGAATATTGCAAGTTTAATGATTGCCTCAGCGTGTTTATAAACTTTGTGCGAAAACGTGAACACGAATGTAAGTGCACTTTGCGGATTATTTGAACAGTTCATGAATTGCACTATGTATTTCTCTATTTAGAGGGAATAAAAAAGCTTTTTTAGAAATGCGTATGAATCAAATTAAAAGACTTTGTAATTTTTTTCTTATATTAACCAATATAATAAAATTATAAAAAATACATAAATTCGGTAAAATTACAAAATTATTTAATATTAGAATGTTCTTATTCCCTCTCAATACTATATGTATATCTATGCTTCTTCTCATCAAAATGTTTCTATATGTATAATAGTTACTACTGACAAGTGTAATGATCTAAATGAATTATCGTGCAGATGCAAAACTTGCTATTTTACTATAGCAAGCAACTATATTCGCAAATTTCAATAAACTATGCTTACAAGAAACTTCTTCTAGTATAACTCACAAGTTACTAAATTGAAGTTGCGACGAATCCTCAATAGGGCGTGTATAACATTAGATTGTATAAGATTGTAGACTAGTCGATTTATTTGTAATTGTGTTTTACTTTTGCAAAACAGATCACGTATGTAGAAACAAAATTGTAAAGAAATAAAATTAGATTTGCCCTCTTAAGAAATCATGTCGCATCGAAAGAATGTTTACAATAGAGCGCCTCGAGAGTCAACAACGAATAGTCAATAACAACGATTACAGTTGGGATCTCTTTAAGGACAACTACTTTAAACATTGACTGCAAAGAGAGTTAAATTCATAAAAAAATACATTTTGACAATAAATCAAGATACATTGCCAACTTTGAATTAAATTAAATTAAGAAACTGCTTAAATGGAAAATTATAATATGATTGGATATATAATGTATATCATTCATAATAATATAACTCTGTTAGTCACGTAACGCGAAATTAATTTATAAGATAAAAGACAATACACAAAATAATAATTCGAATATACACAATTAAAAATAATACTAAAATTAATTTTAATTAAAATATATATAAACAACTCAATAATTCTAATGTTGGCAAAAGAATAATTATTCGATTCGGTCTAGCTTCCCTCTTGGCAGGCGACTGTACATGCGTAAAGTACGAGAAGATTCTGCATCAAGGAGCATAAAAAGAGCTCTTCTACATAAAAGTAGATAGGTATAAATAAATAGTCACCCTTAAATATGGATACTTGTATGTATAATACATACGCAGTCTTGTGAAAATCGATGTACTCCAAGTCCTATCTTTCAAATGAAATTCTCTTAGATGGAGTATGATGGAGTATTTGACGCTTATGCAATCTAATCAAATTACGCGACTATACACGCGAGCCATGCAATCATTATCTATAAATGTGTTCGGGGAATCCTAATCCCTTCGGCAATAGAAACTTGATTAAGTCAAGGGAAAATAATATGAAAATTTGCTTTCATACATATTACAATTTTAATTTGCAAATTACTATAATAAGACTTGTTAATATCATCAATCTACGAGTACTTATAAAAAGTTCGACAGAGTTTAACAAGATTTCCAGAAAGAAAGGATATCTAGGTAAATCAACTCTTAATGTCAAATTATATTGAATGTGTTTAAATAAAAACGATCAATATAATTAATTATAAGATACAAAAGCATTGATAATATTTAAAATTAAATATAAAGTACATTTATAATTAAATAACTATAAATTTTTTAATGATAATTTAATTTTTTATGAAATTTTATTTATTTGCCTAATGACATAAAACAAAACTATTTTTCTCAAAACATTATATGCAAAATATGAAAATATTTAATGTAACTTCGTATTTATCCTCGGTATAGTAAGCAAATTCTATATCATTGATTGATCATAAATTGTGTAACGTGTAGCTATATCAAAATTACGATCAAAACAAATAAAAAACGTAGAATAGAAAATAAATATAAAATCTTTTATTATATATAAAAACTTGGCAAATAAGAATCTAAAATTTAGAAAACATTGCAGTTGCAGTAAATCAATCATCCGATACGACACTTTATATAAATAAATAAAGTATTTTCTCTCAAGAGAAAAGAAAATATATAATACATATAAATAACAATAAGAATACAGATATATCTCTCTACTTACGGCGTGCAGTGATTATGTTCCGAGACTTCGGTCATAAATCGAATTGATCGTAAGTAAAATATAGTAATCGTATAATACTAAATCTATTGCTTTTCTTTCTCCTTTAGTACTAACTATACTGGATATGAATAATTACAAGGTCACATGAAAAAGTAATGCCCGCCTCCATTAATGTAGATAATTTTAATTTCAATTCAATTTAATTTCAATTGAAGTTACTTTTCAACTTTTTCTAATTAGTGCATGCTGGTCAAAAATCCGATAATCCATAAGTCGAAATAGTCATAAGAGAAATGTAATATGAACACGATAATAATATAGAACAATTAAAAAAATAAAACTATATAGGCAATATTTACTTACATTTAATTTAAAAATAAAACTATAAACGTTTTAACCACGTCTCTCATAAAATCGTTTATATCAATTCTTGAATTAAATTAAAGATTTTTTTCATCGATTATCTCAATCAACACGCAGATCGTTAGAACTGTCGTTTCCTGGACTCATCGATTTTCAGGAAGCTGCATCAGAAATATCGCGAAATAGATAGGAAAGAGTCACTTGCTCTATCTGAACAGAGCTTTGAATAACAAGTTGCTTGCTTAGTAAGTGAATGAAAAACCCATACGGCTCATTCTGTGCTGTGAGTGGTGAGAGTGTTTCGCACCTTGCGAGGCGTTCGGTGAGTGGGCCCTCAAGGATGCCATCGAGGGTTGCCTTGATGGAGCTCGTACACTCGCTCTCGAGCCACGTCTCTCCTGAGTGTGCAAGAGTTTGTTCTCTCTCAGCAGCGAGACGTTCATCAATCGCGCGTTGGGTGTATTAAAGATAGTGCGGTTCTCTCGCCAACGAGCCCTGCAATTCCACATCATGTCACATAATTAATAGATCAACTGTTTACGAGGTAAATACTTTTTTCCACTTGTCAATTATTTTCGTATGACAAAGCTTTTATAATACATGTACAGCTGAGATATACTTACACGTGCGATTCTCAAAATTTTTCAATTGTATTTTAAAATGTTTTTATCTTGTTACAAACATTTTGCGAGTTATAGTAGTGCTTTTATTTCAGCTTTAGAAATAAGCAATTTTTATACATAACTATTTTTATATATAATTTTTATATATAATTTTTATATATAATTTCTTTTTTAAATAATTATAATCTCGTTTTTCACACGAGAAATAAGAAATTTCTGGAAACGTACGGGTTAATTCTAAGCAAAATCGTAAAATTTATAACATTCTTATAAGATTTGTAAGGACTTATAAATGCTTATAACTTTATGCAATATCTTTACAAACAGCTTCTTGCTAGTCATAAGATTTACGAGAAATTGTAGATATTTACAAATGATCATACATCTTACGGTACATATGCATAGAATTACAATATCAGTCATAAGTTCTTACAAGTTTTACGAGCACAAGTTGCGAGCCTTACGATTCTGCTTAGAATTGACCCAGTAATATTAGTAGATACAGGTATATGAATAATTGAGCAATACTTTCGTAAAATCGAGATTGATTTTACAAACGCCAAAGCGTTCTAAGAACTCATTTCTCATAATGAATAGTACTATAAAATAATACTGCATTATTTCCAATAAAAACACATATTGCACGATGTCATATACCTAACAATATTTTGAGAAACATTAATTATTCAGAGTGTTATATGGAAATGTTTTATAAACAGGTGATTGTTTTACCAAACACTCGTCGACATCGCAATTTCTTGAATAAAACAACAGTCATCTAAGCTAAACGCATATAATTTGTATTCAAATTTTGACAACTTCTATTAAAGTTGTCACCAGAGCACAATTTTAATTCCAACCTACGATTAAACTTAAATTTACATGTTAATTATTAACGAATGATATGCAAGAGATTTATTGAAATTGGGTCGCGTTATTATTTAAAGAAATTTGCAAATTTAATCGAAGTCTATGCATGCTTTATTTTGATACAAATTGCATAAGGTTAATAAGGATTAAATTATTTGTAACAACAATATTTTAAAAAAATATGAATAATGAATATAAATTACTTGTAACACTTTTTTTTAATCAAACTACTTACTTGCTGAAAAGTCTAAGAACGACGCAAATGATGACGAACATCAGTGCCATGCCAACGAGAACGCCGATCATCGCTGGATCGATGTACCGGAGGCTGGGTGACTCTTTGACCTCGGCTGAAAACAAATTCGTTGGTTTGCACCAGGGACCGCGGAACTAGAAGCTCATAAATTAAATCCCACATGCCCTAGAGGAATTAAAAGTCAAACGCGTACTATTGATAGGATGGAAGAGAGCACTCACAAGAAGAAGAATATATACCATCAAGGGATTTGTTACGACAGTCCGATTCGATTCTCCTTAAAATATGTTGTTAAACAAAAATCTAAGACACACGAGGTATCTTTTATATCGGTCCAATTATCAAGGAGACTAATGAGATATATAAAAAAATAATGTTAAACAAACGTTTCTGATTTTTTTAAAAATATATTTTATAATTATGTGTATCTACATTTTTCAAAAGCCTAATATTTTGAAAATATTCCCATCCTCATAATTAGATTTTGAGAGGTTGTTTTATACTTTAAATCTCAAATTGAGCCGATATAAAAAAATACGTGATTTTTAGATTTTTCTGTTTAACAATATATTTCGAAAAGAATTGAATCGGTTCCGGACAGTTGTGATACAAAAAAAAATACATTCCTTGTGAGTACAAAGAATGTATTGAGTATTTATGAACTAACTGTTATTAACTGACTTTGTTGGTTTAACGTTCTTCTATTAATTTTAAATTTGAATATTATTTGATGCTTATTGTTAAAAAGTAAAAGCGATGAAAGTTGCTATTTAGCAAAGAATATAATGAATAATCGCAGAAATCTCTTTAAATTTAAACGATCATTAATCGCAACGTTCCGTCTGTGTAAACACACAATGTTCTTAAAATGTTATATAAATATTCTTCATTCTGTTTAATATTTATATATTCTATAGGATTATTATGTTTTATAGAAGTGCTTCTTATTTTTATCTTTCTGCGTTTTCATGCAAGGAAAATATTCTTGGTGTGCATAAAATATCGGAATGGAGCAAGTGGGAGAAATTTCATTAATTCCATCGATTCTGTCTTTTTCAATTTTCACCAAACCACGTCGTGTCGGCATGACAAGATTTTCATTAAAGCTATCATGTCCTCATTTTTTGAAAATTCCTTTCCTTACCTACGCAGATTATTACACCGTCTGCCTGCGTCATCGGGACTTTCTCGAAGAGGCAGATGCATCGACCATCACGACATTCCGTTTGGATCACCCGCGCCTCGCATTGCTCACGGAAGAAACAGGACTCGTTCACGTTCGCCGCTAAAATAATTTTTAGAGTACATTCTCCGTAAATTGTGAAATGTAAATAAGAAATTCTAAATATGCCGTAAAACAGAATTTAGAGAAATACTTTAAAATATAAACTACTTGTGTATATAAAACTGTCTACACAATAAACGAAACTTTTCTTAAGTTTAGTGTATACTCTGAGAATCAACAAATTATTTGATATTCTAAACTACAATATTATATTTACATCAGATAATTTATAAGAATTTTTCTGCTAAACATGTTAAAGATTCTTTCTTTTAATTTTTAATCATTCGTCAATTCATTAACGGAATGGAATTCATTTCTTATGCGTACACCAATCTTGAGCTTCAGCATATAGTTTACTCGCAATCGGATCGACTTGTTTAATTGCGAGGTTTACTATGTGATATCATGTACGAAATCGCTGTTAATGGATATGGCAACTTAACTGAGAAGGAAATAGAATCATTCTCGATCCAGATAGCACCAGCCCATTTAACTAGCAAGTGCATTCGCGTATGGAAATTAATCCCACTGGCATATGCATCGCGCCGTGTTGATTTACTTCTCTTGGGTAAAATTTTTTTTATCTGCTAAACATTATTTCATGCACATACTATAATTACATTAATATTTTTACACAACATTTTAAAGTTAATTTCTTTCAAATAATTATAATATATGTTGTCGTTAATCATATTGACAGACGACGTTATTTCATAATGCTTAGAAATTCCATGAAAGAGAAGCTATTTCAATTTTCTCCCTATGAATTGAGATTCCCTCTGGAGGTTTTCATATATTTTATATATATGATCGTAAAGGAGCCACGTACAAAACTCTATATGCAGATCCAGAATACCGGAAAGCATACCAACTTACCATGTCCGCACTTGTCGATATGGTTCGTGGCTTCAAATTCTTCCTTGCAAGTGCACTTGTACTTCTTTTGTTCACAATAGGAGCCAGCAAAACCGCATTCTTTGTCCTCCAAACAGTCATCACCAAACTTTTTCGTGCCCCTATCGGATAGATCTGGAAAGATACGATAATTAGAGATAATAAGGTATTTTAAAACATATTTATATTGCATGTTAAGCACTTCTAATAAGCACTTCTAGGGATCATATCTCGCATCACATTTCTGTTAAAAAGATATCAATCTCATGTCATCCTACAAATAATTATAACTTAAGCTCACTTTAAATGATCTATAATAATTTGCGTCAAAATTCAGGACAAAATTCTATTAATATTTTTATATGTCATGTAATACGATAAACGTTTTTTAAAAAATTCAAGGATATATGTGAAATTTATATCAAAACATTCACATAAAAATACACAGCATATAAAATTATAAACAGAATTCTAGTCTAACATAAGATTTAGATATATAGTCTCTAATTTGAACGAAATATCTTAAGTTATGAATACACAATTCAGTTACGAAAATTTCAACGGTCTAAGCTGAATCTTAGTTCTTAAATAATATTTTTAGTGAGAATTTATGTACATATGCAGTTCTATAAATTGCGCGCCGAAATTACATAATTTTAGTCTTGAAAAGTAATCATAAGCAAAACTGGGCTGTCTCTAATTTGGCTTTACAGCTAGTAGTCGATATATAAATAAATAGAAAAATTTTCAATTTTTCTTTTGCTCTCTCTCCTTTGAATTCAGATTATGTTTATATAAAAATCTCAGATTTATCAAAAACTTTATCATACTAAAAGTTAAAATGCGTCAGAATATCTTACGCAAACTCGGTCGTGGTAACCATACAGACATCTTCTCAATATATATGTTCAAGTATGCGCAAAAAGATATATGTATGCACATGTAAGAAATGCAATAAAAGTAAGAACTGGAAATATTACAACAATTCCGCGCAAGTTTCCCAAAATTCTTCTCAATTTATATATTATCTCAATTTTTAGTAGAAATGTTAATAATGCTTTGCAGAAAGTTGACTAGCTCTTTCAGAGAAGCCTGATTGCTGTATTGTCGATGAATAATGGCCCCTATCTAAGTTCCATCCTACGACATTTCAATAGAGTTCCGAAGGACTCTTCTCTTGACTTGCACAATACATGCCGATTCGGAAAAATATCTGTAGGTTTTATAATCCTTGAAATCGTTAAAAGGAATGAAATGATTCTAGCTCGCCGGAAGACAAACTCTTTTATCTTTATCATAAATTTTTCAAGCGACGTTAATTTTACGGCGTGCGTCTCTCGCTTTTACGTAAAAATGTAATTTAAATATGATACTAAAAAAACATTACAGTAAAACGGGACATAAACAGGATTGGTCGTTCTGAATTGGATCATCTGGGATTACTAATTACAAAACTAATAACTCGTTATTTCATTACTTTAATTGCTCCATCATATTATATAAAGCTGTTCCATTCGCCAGAAAGCAATTATACCTTCCAGCGGTATACATGGAAATTTTTAATCTTCCTTTCGCTTCTTTTTTAACCCAGATTGTTTTTAAATATTAATAGCAGTATTAATAAAAATTTCAAAAAACAATGTTGTACACGATATTTATATCCACTTCATTGATTCGGATCGCACAGAAATTGCATAGAGCTGCAAGCAAGAAGTGATGTGTATGCACAGGCTGCATACACTGTCTGGAAAGTTTACACGTAGGTTACTAGTTGGCCAACCGCGGAAATTTGATTAGCACAACACCGACTTCAATTATACAGACGTTTAGATTGATTTTCCTTCGTGTTCCTTTTATATGTATGCGATGCATAGATTTGTACCCTTTCGCAATCGAATAAACGGTTAAATATATTTTTCCAAGATGATTTCATTAACTGTAATCAATTACAGAAGTGTAATTGATTACAGTTAATGAAATCATCTTGGAAAAATATATTTAACCGTTTATTCGATTGCGAAAGGGTACAAATCTATGCATCGCATACATATAAAAGGAACACGAAGGAAAGTCGCAACTTAAATAATTTAATATGTTAATGTAGTATCGAATTAAATAAGGATTGTGAATTAATTTTTTCTATAATTAAAATCGTGAAGCGTATAATGAATTTGAAGAGTGAACATTTTAAAGATGACGTTAAAATTGTGGTAATCTCTATATATCCTCTTTTTCCGTCCTAATTGCACTGTGCTGAAAATTATCAGAAAATGCTGGGTCTCTTTTAGGGTTAAACAATTCATTCGCGGTGACCTGGAAAGACTGGGATCAAGGGTGGCGACTATTCGACGGCTCGAAGTTAAAATGGCGCCAGGCGGGTCAATCTACGCGTTAAAAGTGGGTCAGTCCGTTTCTATGGCACGCCGCCAATGCTCTCACGTGCAAAACCTCTCACAGCTACCTCACCACCAGCTACCCCCTTTTTTTCATTCAAATTACTTTCTAGTCTGTGTACGTACGTCCACTCGAAAGCGTATGCATGTACTCATTGCTTGTGCGTGTCCCTTAATCGGTTAGAAATTATTATTACAGTAGTAGGTGTAATTTAATATTACGGTGAAAAGTCTTATTATGTCATTTATGCCTTGCTTATTTCGAACATAATACGCAGATTTTTTTCAATCATCAGATATTCATAAAGTTCCTCGTAGTCGTTTTATTAATTAATATTTAAGTAATTTTATAAATTGAATGGATCTTGAATGAATTTCTCTTTTCTGATGCACGTTTTATTCTGCTTTTGCAATCTCGATACTATAGTACAGATTTTTCTCCTTATCACGAAAAGAAAAAGTTGAAACAATTAATCATTTAGGAATTAATTATTCTTGTTTAACATCATACTATTTTGACGTCAATATTAATAGCAGTTTCCACTAGGAAAACTAGTACAACGCTGGTGCAATTCAGCACAAATCGGTTTACATATTTTCAGTGTTAATAAATAATTTAATCCTTTTAAAATTATAAAATTATCGTGATAACAAAAAATATGTAATTGAAAAGGTTAAACTATTAACATTGAAAATATGTGTATATATTGATTTGTATTCAATTGCACTCAATATCCACCAGAGTTGTATTAGTTTCCCAGTGCAAAACGCTATAGAGAATGTTCATTTTATTTTTCCTTTAAAACAAAAATTGTTGATATAAGATTATTGTTACAAATAACCAATTTTCAAATAATAACTGCCTTATTTAATGCTCAATATTTAAATATTTTATTCAAAATTATTATGCCAAGTTGAAGTAAGTGAATACCAAGTTAGTACGTGAATACTGTTGTTTTGAGACACATACAGAATAAATACAGCAATCATTAAGTTAAGAGTTTTCCTCTTTCTAAAACGTTATCTATATAAAACGCAGAACGCAGGTCGCAAGTCGCAAGCTTGTTGCGTCAACCAATCCGATGCATCAATTTTAAAAGTGACGCTTCGAGATTGGCTGACACAACAAGTTTGCGACCTGCAACTTGTATTCTGCGTCTTATATAGATCGAACTTAATGAAAATTAATTGGCCCGTATTCAGAACGCGCTTTTATCGATAAAAGCACGCTTTTATCTCTGAAATTCTATAATGTGCGTGACGTAAAGTATAGTATGTTAGCGCGCTAACATTATTGTAAGCGCATTCTGAATACGGGCCATTGTCTTCAGATAAGCGTGATATATAACAAAAGCGCAAATCTATAGTTTTGAATTGCGAATTTTTCGTCGGAAATAAAAAATAACAGCTTAATATCATGCAGAATGCATCCTTCTATTTTATTACAATTTAAAAATTTCTGCTAAAAATATTCGTGTTGAAATATTAAGTGGTAATATTTTTAATGATAGCCCATAGCGATGATAGTCTCTTTTGATGGCGACGCTCAGTCTTGACGGGACTGCGATCTTACCTGCGATTAGTAATGCCATTACACTCTCCTTACACTCTCGTTACACTTTCATTATTATTCGTAACTTGAAAAGATTAATCGTTATAAGATGCTCGAGGTGTTCCCATGGACACTTAGTTCCATGACATGGAACGGGCTGGGTGATAAACGACAGGATAATAAACATGCTCAGAATACACGAGTTTATAGAGAAAATTTTTCTAAACTGATAACGACTATCGTATTTTACAAGTTACTTTTATAGATATTATATGGCAAAGAGAAAAACAAGAAATATGTAGAAGTCAATGCTGTATAGTTAATATTTTTTCTTACATTCCGTACCGCGCAAAATATTAAGTTGATATCTATTAAATAAAGTTTAATAAACTTTAAGTTTAAAAAGTATAAATTAAGATTTCAGTAAAATTGAAATAAGATTACACGTTTTGATTAGTTACATAGTTCTATTTGTATTATCACTTAAAAAAAGAAATTTTTCAATTCCCTTCCCAGAAAACTTCATTTTTCCAATTTCATTTATCACACAGTCTGATGATACATGATTAGGCACGAAGAATCGCCAAATATGATCTTTTTCACTTACGCATGTTATAATCGGTAAATGTGCAATATAACGGACCACCCTCCAATGACCTTGACCTTGACATTAAGGTCATGACCTTGAGTAACCTCCGCCAAGTTTTAGTTGGCGGTCGCTTCGTTAAAAAGTTATTAATAAAAGAAGTTTGAAAAACGATATCTCTTTTTTACTATATAAAACAGAAATTTTCTGCTTTAAAGTAAGTATATTTTACAACTTTCCACGCCACTCCCCCCCTACTTGGGGGCGCACGACTTTCCGAGATTGACCATATTTCTTTGGAAAGTCGTGCTCCCCCAAACAGGGGGGGGGGGAGGTGGGAGTCGCTTCACGTGGAAGTCGAGCGCTCTGAAGTAGGGTAGAAGTGAAAATAAGTTTCTGTTTTAAAAACAAAGATTATAGGAAATTAATGTTTTCAAAGACAATTTTTTGTTTTAGAGGAAATCTATTTCCTTGACCTTGACAATATATGTCAAGGTTAAGGTCATCGAAGGTCCGTTGTTTTCAATATTCACCAACAAAAATTATATGGGGAGAGGCGGAAATGTGATGTTATTTCTTAAACTTTTTTTGTTTATAACTTTTT